CCGGCTCCATCCCGGGAGCCGAGCCTTTGAAACAGGCCCGCGTCCCACTCCTCAGCCTGTGGCCAGGCCGCTCGGAGTGTGGCCCGGGATCCCGAGTGACGCCGCGTGCGTCACGGGGCTGCAGGTGAGGCGCGGGGCGCTGACCCCTCCGCTGTGTCTTGCAGTACGAGATGTACACCATCGAGCGGAACGCGGAGCGGACGGCCACCGCGGGGAGGCTGCTGTATGACATGTGAGTGCGCTGGAAGGACAGCAGCTCCTGCTGCACGGGGTCTCTGGGGCAGCTTTTGTTTCTGTGAAGTGGGAGTTGGGAAGTGGGGGCGATCGTCAGGTACCCAGAGCTTGCCCAGTGATGACGCTAGGTCTTCCTTTAATTTCTGGCATGCCTTTTGTAGAGAAGTCTTTTTATCCTTATGTTGTATTGTTAAAACTCCTATCTGGGACTTCATTTTTGGGGGGAATAATACATGCTCATTGCAAACGTTAAAACGATATTTAAGTAACTGAGAATAAAAAGTGAAAGTCCTTCCTAAACTCAGCCAGTGTGTTAACAAGTCATAGGGATTAATATGACTTTGGGAGGGCTTACAAAAGAGAGATCGTACTGTCAGTTCTGAAACTTCTTTTCTTCACCCATTGTCAAGGAACCCCTTCCAGGTTTTTCAGGCCTTTAGCATTTCATAACCACATATTTTTTGGTGGATATTTAGATAGTTTCTAGTTATTTGAAATGATGTTCAGTATGGTAGTTTGTACGCATATTTTGGTGTTTCCCTGTGAAAAGAGATTTTAAGGTATATATTGTCACACTGTAGTTAAAAGATATACTTATGAAATGTTTTGGTCTGCTATCAAGTTACTGTCTGAAAAGGATTATCCCAGCATGTATTTCCACTCTGTTTCCCAGGGTGATTTTTAGCTCGTGGGCTCAAGTGATCCTCCTGCCTTAGCCTACTGAGTAGCTGGCCCTCCAGGCATTCATCACCATCCCTGGTTTTTCGGTCTCCTTAATTCTTGTATTCTCCTTAATTCTTGCCACTACATAAGAAAATATGTTGTCTTGCTGTTTGGATTTTTAAATTTTTACTACTTAATCTTCATATAAATAGTAATGGCAAATGAGTATCATTTGAACTGTTCTTGTTGGCTGTTTGTATTTTATGATTTGAATTTGCCTATTTTTTTTTTCCTTTGGGGTAGTTCGTTTCATTCTTGATTTTTAGTTCTTTATGTATTAGGGTTGCTTGTGTTTTCACTTATAAAAAACCTTTAAAAACTTATAAGTATTCTCATTTTTCTAAATCAATTAGTTTTTACTTTTGTAATTTTATTTTGGTTTATCTTGACATCTAAATGTTCATGTAGAATAAAGAAGTTTTTTTTTCTTCAAATGCTAATATTCTTTTGGGTTACTGTACAGTCTGAATTTTAATTTAATAAATTCATTTTAAAAATAGGTTTGTGAATTTCCCAGACCAGCCCGTGGTATGGAGAGAAATCAGCATTATTACATCAGCATTAAGGAATGATTCACAGGATAAACAAACCCAGTTTTTAAGAAGTAAGAATGGAGTAATATCTTAACTCTATATAAATTACTATTTCTGGAATACCAGATCATAGTCAGAAACTTAGCTAAAAAGTCTTGCCTGTGGTGTTTGTACCCATATGTATGTTTTATTCTTGGCAACTGAAGTCTGTAATACTGTCACTTGGCCCCTTGAGCATTTGCTTTGAAACCTGCAAGCTTCCTTAAAGGATGTGGACCTATGAGTGAGGCCAGGCAATTGAATATATTAGTAACATATTTTACAATAGCTAGAAAGCATCTGTAAATAAACCAAATCTCCACAAAATAGAAGAGAAACTTTCCTAATTTTTCTTTTTCTTTAAACTGTGTTGGTTGCTATAGCAATCAAAGATTAAAAATTCTGATTAGACTAGAAGGTAGCTAAGTTGGCTCATTTCAATTTAAACAAATGCCTGCTCTTTATCTTAACCTACAACAAGCAGTGTTGAGACTCTTCACTTCACACACAACTTTCCAGTAAGGGCTCTAAATGTTTTATGATTACTCAGCTGACAGCTTGTGTCAAATATCATGAAATTCAAAAACCTGCCAGGCTATCGGTAAAACCTGATCACAGTGATTATTTACTATTCCTTACATGAAAATGCCTTCTTTACCACTTTTGCTTTAATATTTTCTGAAAGAATTCTAAAGGTGAAACGTGTTATGTACAGGTTTATTTGAAACTCTTCCTGGCCGCATCCAGTGTGAAATGTTATTAAAGGTCACGGAACAATGCTTCAATACGCTGGAAAGATCAGAAATGTTACTCCTGCTTTTGAGGCGCTTCCCTGAAACAGTTGTGCAACATGGGGTAAGAATGCTTTTCCTTCTTTTAAGAGCAAATAAAATTGATTATCAGTGGGTTCATTAGTATGGTTAGGAGCTCTAGTGTGTATGATTCTAAAACAGAGAACCTGGAGCCCTGGGTTATATTGAATTTATATCAGGACATTCTTTGTCAGTAAAGCTAAGAAGACAGCATTATTATCAAGTGCTGATTGTGCATTTCCAGGAGAAATGTCATATGGCTATAAGGAAATAATCACCAAACTCTGACTGTAGTATTTATTTGCAATCTATAGATTTTAAAATAAAAAATCCTTTTCCTTTGTATTTGACAGTGTGTTTGAGTTTAAATGAGAGCTGCAGATTGCGGTCTTCCCTTAAGGACACTACTCATTGGGATTTTGGTCTACCTTAATCCAGTATGACCTCATCTTTTTTTCTTTTTTTCTTTTTTTTTTTTTTTTTTTTTTTTTTTTTTTTTTTTTGGTACTGGGGATCAAACTCGGGACCTTGCCACTTGCGAGGCAGGCGGCGGAACCACTGAGCTAAATCCCCAGCCTCTAATATGACCTCATCTTAACCAGTTGTATTTACAAAGGCACTATTTTTTATAAAAGTAAAACATATAATTAAACTTAATGATATTTGAGCTAGTGGAAGACTGTATATTTGACAGTGGTTCCATAAGATTGTACCAGCTGGCGACAGTGGAGCCATTTTAGTGTAAGTAAACTCCGTGATGATTATGCAATGATGAAGTTGCCCAAAGACACATTTTCCAGTACTACCCTCATTGTTAAGTAGTACATGACTGTGGTTCTCAGTGGACAAGAATTTGGAGGACACCATTCAAGCCATTATACTTCAGATCATTACTCTGACTTTTTACCTTCTGTGTAATATCTTTTACATTGTTTTACCCCTACCACAGATATGCCTATATGATTCAAGGAAGGTAATACAGACATCTTGGTAGAATTTTGATAAATAACTTTCTGTTACATTAGGGCATCAGTGATGGAAAGGTGACCTTAAAACTCAGATATTTCTGGCCAGTTCTTCCCAAACTATATGACTGGTAACTCCTGGGAACTCTTGAGAGTGATATTTTGTCACATATATCTTGATGCAAGAAAACGTCAGTTTCCACATTTCTTAGAAAAATCTCTCTGTTTAGATTATTCTAGTTTCAGTACTTTCCTGAAATTGTAGAAACTTTATTAATATCTTAATTTTGCTAGTTCAAAGGAGAATAAAGCAGGACCAAAGTGGTCAGTTTGGTGAACTTGGACTCCCAGTCTGTGTTGTGGATGCATAGAGACATTTTTTAGTCTTTGAAGTGTGATTTTTTTTTTCTCAAAGACATTTGGTTATATAAACTGCATGATACATAGGAAAAATATATTTATATAATGTTATTATCTTAAACTGTATGTATTTAAATGATTACTTTTATCTTGAAACAGTTTGGCCTTGGGGAGGTCCTTTTAGAAGCTGAAACTCTTGAAGAACAAGAGTCACCTGTTAATTGCTTTAGAAAATTATTTGGTAAGAAAAATCATATTTTGTATTTCTGCGAAGTCGAATATGATAAGATTATTTGCAGGAGTAAAGGAGCTCTTTGTATTATGAAATTTAGATCCTTGTTTATCTTTGCAGTTCAGAAAGATCGTTAATAACTTCAAAACCTTTATCTCGCAATATTTTATACCTCTGAAAGCGTGAATAGCAACATAGATAAATAAGCAGCACTCACCCAGGGAAGCTACCACTTGTGTAAGCACTACACCCTTACCCCGGTGACACATCTGCTTTTGGGCTTCCTCGCTGCCTCCTGCCACTTGTACCGCTTCCCATGGCAGTCTTCAGATAAATGTGACATAAGGGATCTCCCCAAAATATTTTAGAGGCTACATTAAGTGAATTCTGAAATGAATTTTGTTTTGCCAGAACCCTACAGTAGACGACCTGATCATTTTATTTTTCTTATTTTTCCCTTCAACAGTTTGTGATGTACTTCCTCTCATAATTAACAACCACGATGTTCGATTGCCTGCCAATTTGCTATATAAATACTTGAACAAAGCAGCTGAATTTTATATCAACTATGTCACTAGGTCTGCTCAAATAGAAAATCAGCATCAAGGTAAGTGGGAATATCCTGTAATCTTATTTAGGCTTTAGTAAAATTGCTGACTGAAATCCCTCATTCTCATTATTCTTCTCTAGATGCCTACAGTTGGATACTGTAGTTTTTCTTAAAGATTTTACCTAAAAAAATAAAATACTGTAGTTACAACATGAAACTTTCTTCTGGAACAGTTTAGTGCACTAAACTTCATAGGTACCGCAGTTTAAAGTTCGGTTTTTGCTTAGTCCAGTACCCAGATGTTTACAGTCACATGTTGCTTAATGAGGGGAGGCATTCTGAGAAGTACACTGGTGGACAGTTCCACACTCCTGGATGGTGCAGCCTGCTCTACACCTCAGCTGCATGACTTGGCCCTAGTGCTCTTAGGCCGCATGCCTGTACAACATGTTACTATACTAACTACTGTAGGCAGTGATACACAGTGCTAAATATGTGTGTATCTAGCATGCCCAAACAGAAAAGGTACAGTGAAAACACACTATAAAAAACAAAAAATAGTCTACCTGTTCAGGGTACTAACATGAATGCAGCTCGAGTTCCTCATGACTTTGAAAACCTACGACATTCCCATACATGCATGTGAGCTTTATCAACACTTAAGCATAGGCTACACCACATTTATAAGAACAAGGTTTTTCTTTCTTCAGTAGTAAATTAACCTTCACTTATTGTAACTTTTTCACTTTATCAAATTTTTATCTTTTGACTCCTTTAACATTTAGGCTAAAATAATAAATACATTGCACACAAAAATATTTTCTTTGTATCTTTAAGATACACACACATTAGCATTGGCTACCTGGCCAGGATCTGATCTTTAATATCACTATCTCCACCTGGTTCCATTGGAAAGTCTCTAGGTCGGTAACATACACAGAGCTTCCAGCTCTTGTGATGACAAAGCCTTCCAGGATCCTCCGGATGGGCCCTTCTGAGACTTCCTGAGCAGGTGTCTGTTCAGAATATATTGTGGTGTTTGTCCCCTCTCCCACTTCTTTCTGTCATAGATCTGTTTGTCAGCAGAAATTGTACCATGAACTTTCCATTAATGAAAACCTTTCCATTAATGAAAAATATGGGTCCATATTTTCAAACTCTTTTGGGAGCTTGCTGGAAATTGCAAAAGCTGATGCTAAACCCATCATTGTGAATGTTTTGGGGAGTTCTTTTACTACTGCATGTTCCTTTGTTCTTGTGTCTTGTTCATCTCTGTTTATTAGGCCATAGGAATTTTCAGCTTTGTTATAATCTTTGGGACCACCATTGTATAAGCAGTCCTTCATTGATAGAAACATTGTTATAAATTATGCAGTGCACAGCTGTAATATGTTGGAGTCTGTGAGTCTACTTTTTTTTTTTTTGGTACCGGGCCTTGAATTCGGGTCCTTGCACTTGCAAGGCAGGCCACCGAACTGCTGAGCTAAGCTAAATCCCTGGCCTTGTACTTTTTCTTTTGAATGAGGGGTAAGGGTTTTTCTTTCTCTTTCAAGTACTACATAAATAATGACTAGTGATGTTAATTGTAGGCTACTTTTTTCTCACATCTCAGGTGCCCAAGATGCATCGGATTTAATGTCACCCAGCAAACGTAGCTCCCAGAAGTATGTAATAGAAGGACTGACTGAAAAATCATCCCAGATTGTGGACCCTTGGGAGAGGTTGTTTAAGATTTTGAATGTTGTTGGAATGAGATGTGAATGGCAGATGGATAAAGGAAGACGGTAATAAATACTTTTTTTCAAGAATTGCCTGTCAAATCTTTAGATTATATGATTTCAGTATCCTTGTAAAATCAAAAACATTTTTTTAAACCAATATAATCTTAAGTGCATTTCTCTTTGGAAAGATTTTATGACAATATTTATTCAAAAGAGGGTGGCTTTTCACTTTATCAGAAGATTCTTAACTGAAGCATGAATACATAAGATGATACTGGCTGAGGATTTACCTCAGTGGCACCATGCCTGCCTCACAAGCACAAGAGGTCCGGAGTTCGATTCCAGGTACAAAAAAATTATCGAGGATCCCATAAGATGGCACTGCATTTGAAGCCCTCCTTGGTAGTTCAGAAAAAGAAGGCGTTACTTGGCATGTTTCTGTCATGAATCTTGGGCTCTTCGTTGCCCTACTTCAGAAGGAGAAATTTGCCATTCACATGCAGACAATAAAGAATTTTAATATGAATAAGCACTTCTCAAAAGAAATTCAAATGGCCAACTAATTTATGAAAAAATGATTAACTTCATTAGTCTTTATGGAAATGCAAGTGAATGTCATTGTCTCGATGCCAGTTAGAATAATAATATCAAAAAGACAAAAAATAGCATGCTGGTGAGGGTGTAGAGAAAAAGAAAGATTTTTGCACTGTTGTACCACCACTATGGAAAACAGTAAGGAGGTTGCTCAAGAATACATCCACTGTGTGATCCAAGTCTCCCACCTCTGGGTGCATATGCAGAGGGCATGATACAGCACATCAGGCACCTTCATGTCCATGCTTATGGCTGCACTATTCGCAGTAGCTAAGATATGGTATCAGTCTAGATGTCCACCAATAGAGACAGAAAATTCAGCCATAAGGAAGAGTGAAATCATTTGTGGTAAAACGATTCAAACCGGAGTACATTGTGTGAACTAAGACTCAGAAAGACAAATTCCAAATGTTATTTCTTATATGTGAATTTTTTTTTTTTTAAGTTAGAATGTAGAAGTACTAGAGGCTAGAAAAGGTCAGGTTGGAGAATAATGGAGGTTAGATAACAGACACCTAAACATAGTTCGATAGAAATAAGTTCTGATGGGGCCGGGGGTTTAGCTCAGTAAGTACTAGAGGCTAGAAAAGGTCAGGTTGGAGAATAATGGAGGTTAGATAACAGACACCTAAACATAGTTCGATAGAAATAAGTTCTGATGGGGCCGGGGGTTTAGCTCAGTGGTTCTGGCACCTGCCTTGCAAGTGCAAGGACCCAAGTTCGATCCCTGGTGCCAAAAAAAAAAGAACAAAGAAATAAGTTCTGATGTATAGAGCAGTGGGGTACTATCATTCACAATCACTCTTTTGTGTGTGTGATGTTTGGAATCTGGCCTAGGGCCTTGTGCATGATAAGCAAGTGTTCTAGTCAGCCATGCCTGAGCCCCACAATAAATCATTATCTATTTCATGAGTAACTAGGAGAGAGGAGCTTGAAGTCTCCTAACGTGAAATACTGAAAAGAAGATGGACTTAAGTATCCTGGTATGATCAGTATGTATTGTATAGACTTAACTGAAATGTCACAGTGTACTTTAAACATGTACAGTTATGACATGTTAATAAAAAGTGATTAAAATATTTAAGGAGATGGAAATTTTAACTACCCTGATTCGATCAGGGAACACTATACATGTATATTGAATGACCACATTGTAACACATAAATTTGTGCAATTAAAATGATTTTGTTTTTAAGACCAGGGATTTAGCTCAGTGGTACTGTGCCTACTTTGCAAGCACAAGGTCCTGAGTTTGATCCCCAGTATACCCCACCAAAAAAGAGATATTTAAAAGTTTAGTTTCAAAAAGTCATAAATGCTTAGAGCTGCATTTGGTAAATGTAGATTGTATCAGAACTTTTCTTTAGAACTTTTGCTGAAAGGCCCAGATGTTTGACTTAAGTTGTATCCTCCTTTCTCTTGCAGAAGCTATAGTGATATATTGCATAGGATGAAGGATCTCTGCAGATACATGAACAACTTCGATAATGAAGCACACGCAAAATATAAAAACCAAGTGGTTTATTCCACTATGTTGGTCTTCTTTAAGAATGCATTCCAGTATGTCAACAGCATACAGCCATCTCTCTTCCAAGGTTGGTTTACAACTCTTAGAAATACGGATTCAGTGAGGCTGGTAGAGGGGACAAAAGTGCTCTGACCATTGGTACTAGTGCTCTGTTCTTTGTAGGTGATGATTTAGTTTGGTTGAACTTGGTAGTTTTTATGTAAGAACATTTTCATTAAAATTCCCATATATAAGGCAACTCTGGTACCATGAAACTGAATGCAGATATTGAATGCCACTATTTTGAAAAAAAAGTTGTAAAAAAATTTTGAGGGAGAGTTAAATCCTCAGTACCAAAAAAAATTTTTTGAAGTATATTTTTACAAAGATGTGATAACAGGCAAAGGTTTAAGTAAAATAAAGTATGTTATGCACATATTTAATGCATGTATATAGTGTGAATATATATCCTAAAAAGTCTCAAAAACGGTTAAGAGGGTGAAATCACCCACGAGCCTTTCAAATTTGTGTATTGCCTTATAATTTTCCATATATTTAGGTTACATTTGGTATTTATAACCATAATATACATATAATTTTGTAGTCTTTTTATGATAATTTATGATTTTGTGGTCATTATAAAAAAATTACAGATACTTGAGAACAAATACATTTATTTTCACCACTGAGCAAGAACATTTGCTAATAGTTTGGTACACATCTATGCAGTCTTTTTCCCCTTATACATGTATAGTTGTTTACCCACTTGGGATCACACTGAACATATTTTTGATGAGTTTTATTGTCATGTTGACAGTTGACCACCTTTTTGCTGATACTGAGTATTCTTTTTCTTTCTGCATTTCTGATGTTGCTTTCTGGTCATCCATAGGACCTAATGCTCCAAACCAAGTTCCGCTGGTCCTTCTTGAAGATGTATCAAATGTATATGGTGATGTGGAAATTGATCGTAATAAACACATTCATAAAAAGAGGAAACTAGCTGAGGGAAGAGAAAAAACCATGGTAATCCTTTTAGATATAATTATAAACATTTTTATGGTTTGCTAGGGAAGAATTTTGTAAAATATGGTTTTACAGATAAATGGATAAAGTGTTGGACTTCATGCCATATATAAGACCAGGGATTTGGCTTAGTGATTCTGCTGCCTGCCTTGTAAGTGCAAGGGCCTGAGGTTGATCCCTGGAACCAAAAAAAAAAAAAATTATGCCATATAATTACTGAAGGGAGTGGATCTCACTGGAGGCAATTTTGCCCTGTAGGGGACATTTTACAATGACTAGAGACATTTTGTTTTGTCACATCCCTGCTCTTGGTGGTGAGCGGTTGCTAATTCACATCTAGTAACGTGAGGTTGGAGACGGTGCCAGATGCCCAACCCTTGGGGCACAAGGTGGAAAAGCTCTCATATAATTACCTGGCTGTGTTTTGACTGGATGGCATCAATTAAATTTATTGAGAAGGCCAGAACCCCATTGGATACCTGCAGCAGGCTCCCGTGGTGGTGCCAGCCTCAGAATGGACAGGGTTGAGGCGTGCCGGGTATCCCAAACCACGTGAGGTGCAGGAGGACTTTCAGGAAGCTGAGTCTTGGAGTCTGGAAGGCTGTGGGATTGTCATTGGGGTTGGGAGGTAGATTTTGATGAGGGGGGACATTTTATACAAAGATAAGAATGATTAGAGAATGTAAAGAACCATCAGTCTTCTCACTTGGCTGAGCAGTGAGCCTGTACAGGACAGTTAGTATCTTTCAATAAAATCCTTAGTGGAGACTCAAGAGGACACAAACGTGGAGATTCTCCAGTTTAATAATACTTTTAGCTGTGCAGCCCAGATGGCCTTCATTGTGGCTTCTCAGCCCTGCCATTGTCAATGAAAAACATCTAGAAGTAATGTATGAACAACTGGTGTGGTCATGTTGCAATAAAACTTTACTTGTAAGCCTAAAGATCATAGTTTACTAATCCCTGCCCTAATTGAAATCCCTAGGGGGAGTCAGGAGCCTCAGCCACTTCTTGTCCTTTCTCCTCCCTGTTTTCAGCACTCTTACTCCCTTTTTATTCCTTGGGTAGCATTTTACTGTACCCTAAGTGTGATGAGAGATGTGCATTAAGAGGATACTAATTTGACATGTGGAGGCTCTATAATGCAGGATGGATTAGAGCCAGGAAGACATGGAGCTGTTCTGAGTGTGTGTGTGTGTGTGAGTGTGTGTGTGTGTGTAAACCTCCTCCCCAAAATGCATGCATGCACAGTTTTGGAGCTTATTTCGGTATGTGACAAGATGCTTTGAAACCCCACTGTGAATCCCAAGTTGAGAATTCTTACCAGGCTCTCTTAGATTCTCTCTACCCACTCTTCTTGCCAGACATTTTGTTCATGAACTCTTCTGCTTGCAAACAGTTCTGTTCACAACAGAAGCATTCAGCAAAATGTTGCTTCCATTTGCGAACTCTGTGTAGGTTGATGAACACACCTGCACCCATCTTCCTCAGAATCGTGGAATTTAAGCTTGCCAACTGAGGTACCACTTTATCTCTAATCTTCTGATTATCCAGAAATTCCATATGAAGACCTAGACATGCCTTTCTTCCATTTAGATAAGCATGTTGGGTATTAATAGTTTTAACCAAAAGTAATACTGTGTCCTTGTATAATTCCAAATATGTAACATAGCCCCAATGCACCAGCTTCTTATCACTACCTCTGTAGATCATTCTCCTTTCTAGGCAATCAGAGTTGTCATTCTAGCTCCCTGCTTTCTTCCTTGCTCCTTAAGCGTCTTTTCTAGCTGGCCACCAGGGTGACCTTTCGAAATGTGAATCAGACATTGCTTTCTTGCTGTGCAGTGTCTGCCAGCTTCCTGTCACACTTAGGCTGAAACCCAGAGCTTACAGAGCACTCTTGAGCAGGCCCTTCTGGCTGCAGACATTCAGGTCTCAGTGCAGTTCTTCTGCTCCGAGCCCAGGCCTGCCTCTCGGTTTCTGCCCTTGTCTAAACTGCTCTGTGGAGGGAGTGCTTTTCCCTCAGATCTGCCAGCCAGGCTACGTCCTTGCCATTCAGGTCCCAGCCCAAATGTTTCTCCCTCTGGGCCTTCTAATAAAGTCACTGCCCAGTGTTTTCTTTTTATTACTTCATTTTAATTCTCTACCCTCACTGTTGTCTGTTCTTGTTCATTTGTTAACAGTTTCCTGTCTGTCTCGCTTCACTGGAGTACAAGCTCCTTGGAAGCAGGGACTTTGTCTGTCTTGTCTGTCACTGTGCCCTGGACATCTGAACAGTGCCTGAGCCATAGCAATGGCAGTGCCTGCGCCATGGTGGGCGTTCAGCGAGCATCTGGTGAGGGAGTGGATCCCATCGATCCCTCTCGGGTTGGTGCGCAGGCCGTGGGATCTCGAGGAACCTCCTGAGCATCTCCTCTTCCTTCCGTCTTCTGCCTGTCACGTGCTTCTCTGCCAGCCCGACTCTCATCCTCTGGCCTTCCAACCCGTCTGAGATTTCTGTCCATTTGTATTTTCATTCTCTTAGCAGATTTCATCCTGGTTTTTATTCCATTTCCATCCTAATCTGCCTCCACCTGATGCAGATCCACCCAGGTCTGTTCTGTCACAGCACAGGACAGCCTGATGGCCTGTAAACTCTGTTTGCAGATGTGTCTGCTGTGCTCATGGTTTTGTTTTTGTTCTATAAATCACTTAGCATACAGGAATTAGAAACATAACATTTCTCCTGATAATCCAGATTTCTTTTCTTTTTTTTTTTTCTTTTTGGTACCACGGATTGAACTCTGGCCCTTGCGCTTACAAGGCAGGCCCCAAAACCGCTGAGCTAAATCCCCGGCCCAATACTCCAGATTTATGACTTTCCCTTTTACAGTGGCTGGGGTGGTGGCCCACGCGGGAGTTGGATGTGGCCGCCCATGTTAGAGAGGCTCATGTGCCTGGCCAGGTGGCTGGGGCGGTGGCCATCCTCTCCAGTGGACAGTCTGTTCCCACGTGGCACATGCTTGTGTATGTTCTACCAGTTGCACTGTTGTTCAGATCACCCCTCCTCAGAGCTTCAAAGTAGGTTTATGCATTTCAAAATTGATTTCTCCAAATTTTACCAACTCTTTGTAATGCCCCATGGTTCCCCCACATCTGGGGTCCTTTCATAAATTCCTAACCTCATTTGAGAAACAGAAATGCTTTGTGTAGGCTGCAACACTAAAAGATACACTATCCATGTTAGTGTGTAATAGTAGATTGCCACTGTTTGGCACAGAACAGGGCTCTGATGAAATGGGGTACTTGACAGATGAGTGTTGGTTGTGCAAGAGCAAGAGTGTGTGTCATTCATTCCCAGGGGAAAACAGGCAGGGTAGGGTAGAGCCCCCACCCAGGCACAGGGAACAGCGGGATACTGGGCTCTGACCTCAAAGGGGAGGGCTGGCCATGGGGGCAGACACTGAGGGCAGACTGCCTGTCTCATGTGAGATGGACTCAGGGGACAGAGCTTCTAGCTAGCGTATTTCTATGTATTTCAGAAGGATTTTAGTGCAGTAAAAGTCTGTAGGAATGATTTGGGGTTTTGAGATAATAAAACAGTAAGAGGAATAGAAGAGTCAAAACATTCTTAACTAAATCATCAGTGAATTATCCAGCTGGTTCATTGCTCTTGCATTTGGACATTGTGTCTGGTCGCATCTTCGCTTTTCTTTGGCTTGTCTGACTTGATGTGAAAGCAAGCAGAGTGAAAAGAGTTACTTCTCCAGCGCTGTGTCCTGTGGAATCCACTGCACAATAAGCTGTTCTTTGGAAGCAGATTAAATAGTACCACATATTGGAGTACAAAAGTAATCTATAAAGCAAATGCTACTTAAGTTCTATCTCTCCAGCTAAGAATCTCATTCTTGGCTTTTACACTGATTTGGCTTTGTTGATGATTAGAAGTTGTTGGAAAATAAAACTCATCTGAAAAACAATAAACAAGTAATAATTGAATGTATGATTTGCTTTTCAAAACGAAATTCAAAAATGAATTATAGTCATGGTATATTTTAATATAAAACCTACAATAGGAAGAACTAGCAGCAATAAATAAACATTGCAGTATATGACTATAACTTTAATTGGGTTCTTTGCATTCTTTAAGCAGAGTTCAGATGATGAAGATTGTTCAGCAAAAGGAAGAAACCGTCACATTATAGTCAATAAAGCAGAGCTCGCTAACTCCGTTGAGGTGTTAGAAAGCTTTAAGTTGGCCAGGGAGAGCTGGGAGTTGCTCTATTCCCTAGAATTTCTTGACAAAGGTAAGACTGTTCTTGTCATATCAGTGTTTAAATTTTTATGTAAAATCATTACGCTAAAACAGTTTTATGCCACTCAAAATGTGAAGTCTCTTATGGCTAATTAGACTGACTATATTTTATAATCTTTTTGAGTGAGAAACATAGTTAATATTCAAATAGCTGTTTACTTATCTCCTTCTCTGGGGATGAAGTTTGAGGGAATTTTTTGGTCTTTTCAAGATTTGTAATCCTGGACTTCTGTTTTTTTTAATTGTTCTCATGCATAATGTGTCCAAGAGCACCGTTGCCTGGAACACACGAAGTCCAAAAGCTGCAGAAAGCCTCTTCTATTAGTATAGACATAAAACTAGAGGGGGTTTTATCTGCATGATATGGAAGCCTAGAGATTGCTAGCTCTGCTGACTGTCACTCATTTGGGATGTTACAGTCCAGGCCCATTGCCTTGTCGTGAGCTAGTGGACACTCATCCCTTGACCTGTCACATGCCCAGGAGCCTTTGGCCAGATGTGTCGGGTCATGTTTTCCAATAAACTTAGCATCGTTCCTTTCTTCTCTGTTGCGCCTAGAATTTATGAATGTGTGTGTAACTGTTTTAGAAATTTTTGTTTCCTTTTTCAAATTAACTTTTTAAAAAAATAAGATCTGTTAGTGTCTTTGTGTGTTTCTAATTTTAACTCTGTAAATATACAATGGAAACTTTACTGAAGAGAGAAAAGTAGTTTTAAAGATAAATGAGGCAATCGTTAAAAAAAAGCACAGTTCTTGGTGGACGATATAAATGTGTTTATAAAAATATTGTTTGTGTGTTAATGGTATTAGGCTCTACTTTAGAGTGACATTCTGAACATTGTTTTAAAAATTGGAATCGTAATTTTACTCTGCATCTTTTCATAATTTGTCTCTGCCTCTTGCTGGGCTTGTTAGGTTTTTTGTTTTTGTTTTCATTTTCCTGCTTCTGCATTATATATTTTTAATGAATTTATTTTAATTCTCACCCAGAATTTACAAGAATTTGCTTGGCATGGAAAACAGATACTTGGCTGTGGTTAAGAATCTTTCTCACCGATATGATCATCTATCAGGTAGAGTGATAACACCTTTTGGGTATCTGTGTGTCCAGAAGATGATGACTGCTTAGAACCAGCTTTTAAGCAGTGGTTTTGAACTCACGGAGGTTCTCCTGCCTCCGCCCCCTGAGTGCTGGGATTACAGGCGTGCACCACCATCCCTGGCTAAGCTTTCACATTTCCTCTTCATGATTATGTTCCTTCTCTGAGACAGACCTTGCTTAATTCAGTTGCTTAGTCACTAATGGCTGAGAGAGTATGGTCCACTTTCCTTTCAAAATACCTCCAAAATGATAAGGCCATCCCTTCCTTGTTATTTCTGGTGTGTTTAATCAGCTCTGTACAAAAGTAAAAGTTTTACTTTTCAAGAGAAGGTCACTACTTCTTATCCTCCCTCTCTCCATGCTGCTGGAGCCCCACCTTGCTGTGCTGTTACCAGAGCCTTGGTCTTAGCGTAAGAGCACAGACCCCTCATTAGGGAGGTGCTGGCATGGACCGGTTGCTCCTTCCATCCTCCTGGAAGGAGCAGTGGTGTTAGAGGATCCTTCCACAGGAATGGTGGGCCCAAAATGTGTATTGTCATAGGACTTGTGTTATTTCATTTAGTTCAAAGACTTAAGACCAGAGAGAGTAATCTTTGTACCTTTGGCCCTCCTACCTGTAGTTCCGCACTCTCAGATTCAACCAGGCAAGAGTAAAAATATCAAAAAATATTGCTGCTGCACTGCACGGACTTATTTCTTGTCACCATTCCCTAAACAATACAGGATACTGACGATTTACACAGTACTTCCATTGCATTATGTGTTGTGAGTAACTGGGATGATTAAAGTGTCCAGAAGGATGGGTGCAGGTGTACTTAGAGATGTACTTAGAAATAACTTCATCTAGCTTTAAGTACATGGATTTCATTCTGTTGCTAAGTCTCCTTTTTTCTCCTCATATGATTATACAAAGGTACTGTGTTTCTAATTACTGGCTTCTTAGTTAACTCTGGAGTTGGTAATGTTTTTTTTCCCTTCTTGCTGTTCTGTCTTCTAAGGGTCAGTATAAAAAGGCAATAGCCAGCCTGCACCATTTGGCAGCTCTCCAAGGGTCACTTTCTCAGCCACAGATTCCAGGACAGGGCACCTTGGAGCACCAGAGGGCGCTCATCCAGCTGGCCACGTGCCACTTCGCTTTGGGGGAGTACAGGGTAAGCGCTGGGCCCTGGCATGGGGCCGTCATGGGACCACATCACCAGGGCTTCTTTCCTAGAATGGCTTCATTCAATACATGTTTGCTTGCATTTCGTCTTCCTGCCTAGAATTATTACTTAACCTATTGGTGAAAATCACAAAGTTATTTTTTTAAAAAAACTTGATTTCCCCTTTAATATATGACTGTCCTAACTTTTCACATTTCCTTTTTTTTTTGAGATAGGGTCTTGCTATATGTTCCAGGCTGGCTCTGAGCTCACTAAATAGCCCAGCCTGGCTTTAAACTTATTGAGATCCTCCTGCCTCACCCTCCTGAGTGTTGAGATTATAGGCATGTGCTACCTACTTTTCACACTTCCCATTCATTTTTCTATTCTGTTGGAAGATTTTTTTCCCCCCTCTAAAGCTTTGATCAAGATAACCTGTTCTAAGCATTTCCTGCTAGTTCCACCTGTGTGTATTTCAGCTGTTTTATGTGTAAGTTTCTGTGTTTTACATAATACTTTATAGCATACCACTTAGTCCCTTGCTATATGTCTTCTTGATTGATTTTTCTCTTGAGATGGTAAATGTTTATAAGCTAGACATTCTTGGATGCCACTGCTATTAAACACATTGGTAGTTTCAGTTAATAAATATTAATTTTATTCTTCTGTTTCATTTTCTTTGTAACACAGTGGACTCCTGTACCCTCTCAGACATACATTCAGTCTTCCTGTTACTTTCTGTGTTCACTGTTGAGTAAGCAGTGATGATGACATAGGAAAACATTGAGGCAGACCCAGACTTCCATTGCCTGTTGCCTGGTGTTTGCTTCATATGTTTGCTGTGAGTTCTGGAAGCTTCCAGTTAGTTTCTTTGTTCTTTTCTTCCCCAGATGACATGTGAGAAAGTCCTGGACCTGATGTGCTACATGGTCTTACCCATTCAGGAGGGAGGCAAATCCCAGGAAGAACCCTCAAAAGTAAAGCCCAAATTTAGAAAAGGTATAGTGATGAGTTTGATTATTGTTTAGTGAGTAGTTTTCGGCCCCACAGCTGGGAAATATTTTGTAACCTAAGTGAGGTAATTGTACTGTGTTATGCAGGGTTTGACAGATTGTGTTTTGTGAAAAGTTAATCCTGTTCCACTTTTTTTCTTGGCTCTAATCTCAGAAGCAACTGTAAATCTTTCTTTCAAAGTTCTCTTCACTTCTGAGTTTAGTACCTCTTTGAAGAATATGAGTTAACAGTTTTTCACCAATTGTAGGAACTTTGTAGATGATCGATTAGGAAGTTTCTCTTAGTAAATCTGTGTTGGACACATTTGCATTTCATCTCAAGTTTTGCATTGCTTGAAAAACTATGTACCTGTTTGGACATTAAAAACTAGACAAAGATAAGAAATTAAATATAGGGCAAGTAGAAGAAAGGTCATAATCATTCCAAGAGCAAAAATCAAAATAGAAAACAAAATAGAGAAAACTGAAAGCTATTTTCATGAAAAAAATTTATAAAATTGATAAACTCTTACCAAGATTGATGAAGAAAAAGGTGAACATAGATTAGCAATATAAAGAATGAAAAGGCAAGTGTCATTACAGATAAATTATGAATAATTTATGCCAATAAATTTAACAATTTAAAGTGGCATAGTGCCTTGAAAAGCATAGCTCACCAAAACTACCCAAAATGAAATAGAAAAACTGAATATTCTAACATCTAAAAAGAAGTTGGTTTTAAAATCAAAAACCTTCCCACGTAGAAAACAATCTCAGTGGCTTTACTGGTGAATAACATCAAGAATTTGAGAGAACTAGCGCCAGTCCACTGCGGATTCTTTCAGAAAATAAAAACAAGCTGCCAACTCATATGTTAAGGCCAGCATAACTGGGAGCAAAACAAAACAAGAGTTTTACAAGAAAAGAACATTAAGACCAATATCCGTCATACACATAATGGCAAATGCTAAATGCAATATTAGCAAGTTGAATATTGATAGAGTAATGCATTGTAACTGAAATGCCAGGAATACACATCGGTGTAATTACACAAGTCAGTGTAATTCATATTATCACATTAAAAAAGCAAAGCCTCAATAATCTTAATAAATACAGAGACTTCTTTCTATATTTGTGATTTTATAAATCCTCGCAATTAGAAAATTTACCACCACGCTTAGCTATAAAATATTATGTGCTTTTTCCCAATACAAATATATTTCCACTCTCACAAATTCTTTTTCATATGGTGGAGATTTTAGACAGGACAGTAAGACAAGACAAAGGTGTAAAGGTTGAAATGACTAATCACAAGTGTGACTTCACAGCCACAGATTTAACTGTGTAGAAAAGGAAAATCTATCAGAAGTTTCTAAAACAAAGAAGGGCCAGGGCGGACAGCGGGTTGGGGGTTGTAGTTTGGTGGCAGAGTGTTTGTCTTGCATGTGTGAAGTCCTGGATTCCAGAGAAAACAAAAACAAAACAGGTGACCTTACAATTCAGTGGGGGAAGAATGCATTTGTGCACTAAGTAATAATGAAACTTGGTTAGCCAGTTGTAAAAAACAACAGCAGCAAAAAGCTATCCCTCCTTTGCACTATATAAAAATCCTTTATATTTTGATATTTAAATATAAGAATAAAAATTATTAGAAGGAAATCTTTATGCATACTTAGACTACAGAGAGCACACACCTGGAATCCCAGTCCCAGAGAGGCTGGAGCTTTACTAGTTTGAGCCAAGCCTGAGCAATATAGCAACCCTGTCTCAGCAACCCAACAAAAATAAAAATAAAGGAAAGGGTTAGAAAATTTAATTAGATTAAAATTAAAATACTAGCAAAATATATTATGGTCACAGTGAAAATCCCTAGACTGCCAAAAAATTGTCTTAACATGTGAAATCAACAAAAACATCCCAAAGTTTGAAAATGCTTTGTCAGATCAGTGAGAACCAACCTGCATTAGAAAAATAAGCAAAGGATTTGAACAGTGGATTGACAGGGGCAGACATTTGCATAGCTAAAAGTTATTTTTAAAATTTTTTCATCCTATTAATAATATGGGAAGCATATTACTAGCATTTTGCATATATTGGAATACAAAAATTAAAGAGTAACAATACTGATTCTCATGATCTGAGAAAACCATTATCCTTAAGCTTCTTGAAGTTGTGTAAATTCATATGACCACTTGGGAAACCAGTCAAACATTACCAAACTGAGCATACCATTACCTAGCAAATACGTAATTGTGTACTTTATATCAATATTTTTCAAATGATGTACTCACCCACTGGGTAATGAGTTTCAAATAAGGGGTTTTTCCAATGAGATAGAATGTAAATACATTCCAAATGAAAGGATAAATATTTCATAAACCTTTGATTTTGTATATGTAAACAAGTGTTAAATATGTGCATATACAATCCCCATTTTAAAATGTATTTTGACAGGGAGGAGGCAAAATAAAAAGGATTTATTTCTTGCTGCTCCTTGCTTCTGGGTAGAGAAGGATTTAGACTATGTAAAGGCACAGCCATACAAGATAAGATATTGGTTTGAATGCCATACTTAATTCAGCATTGTTTTTAATAATGAAAAATTGGAGCTCTCATATTCTACCAGAAAGAAGATAAATTATCAGTTAGACATGTGAACAACAGAAACTGTATAATACTAAGATGAGCTAGAACTACTTGTATTCCATCTGATAAACCTGAAACACATGATGTCAAGCGGAAAAAGCAGTTTGCAAAGAGATTCATACACTGTGACCCATATGCTAGAGTAGACTGAAAGCATGCAGACATTCCTCTGTTGATGCATACAGATGCACATGGTAAGAGTATGCACTATACATGGGAACTTTAACCACCATGTTCAGAATTATGATTTCCTTTGAGGAGGGCTGAAGAAAATGGTATTAGAAGGATACGAAAGAAACGTCAACTGATTTTGTGACAGTTTGTGTTAAAATCTTTAAAACTAAAATGATAACATTTTTATAAAGCTGAGTGGTGATTACACCAATGTTTATAATGCTTTCTGTAATTTTAGGTCTGTTTTCAGTGTTGTATAATAAAAAGTAAGTGCGTTTTGGAAAGAAGATTGAAAAATGAAATACAGAGACCGTCTAAAACCAATTTCACCATCACAAAGAATAGTTATGGTTTAATGTATTAGAAGTCATGTGACTGTTGCTTATTCTTTTTACTTGTAGAAGGAAACCATCTGAAACATAATACTTTTCAGTGATGTTTTCTTTGATGGTAATATTCATTAACATTAAAGTAGCACTGTGGTCTTGTTAGGTTCGGATCTGAAGCTCCTGCCCTGCACCAGTAAAGCTATTATGCCATACTGCCTGCATTTGATGTTAGCCTGCTTTAAGGTAAGCCTGAAGTCGATTCTCATGAAAGTTTACTCTGAGATACTGTTCTGACGACTTGGAATGACTTGAATTGAGAACCTCATTGATGATTGAGAATTTAGTATTTTTAAAAAGCGGGTTAATAATAGTGGAAAAGCAGATGGGCTAGTAATGAACAAATATTTATTAAAGAACAGTGACACTAGATAAAGTCGAGTGAAAAATTATCCTCATCCTCAAAAAGTTTAAGCATAATGGTGCAACAGATAATGCAGATAACCTTGGATATAATGGTGTTCACTATATATTTTATAAGTTAATATACAAGTGAATGTATTAGCTGTAGAAAGGAACAGAAATGTTGTTGGTTTCATAAGGAGGTAACTTCGTTATCATCTAGATAGGGTGGGTGACAGCATTTCAGTTACCACGATTAATAGCAGCAAAGGTCTGGCAGCGATGGGGAGGTTCACAGACTGTGGAAAGGACGCCAAGGGAGAGAGGCTTGTACTGGTCCAAGAGCGAATCGGGTGTCCAGGGCAGTAATCCCGGACTTCATTGTCATCACCCATGTGGGGCAATAGGAACGGTTTGAAGTATGATTATCTTCGGAGCTGGTCATTTACAATACAGTCTTTTGGCCATTTTTCTACCTCATGCTTCCTTCTTGCTCACTCCTTTATTTCTCCCAAGTCCCATGTTCTCATCCAGCCCTTTTCTCCCAAGTGGCCTTTCATCCATCTCCCACTCATAACTGTCCCCTAAAAGGAAGCCTCCGAATTCCTTTCCGTGTTATATAGGATGACTCAACCTTCTCTAGCCCCGATTGTCACATTCACAGCTTGAGGCTCACCACGCGTGTCTAGCTCCTGCCTATAAGCACACTTTCGGGAGCACAGTCCACCGGTCACCGTGTGGGGGGCCTCAGACATCTCCAGGTAGGAGCCACCCTGAGAAAGCCGTTCTGACTTCTGCTAGCAGCTTTACTTCCTGCTTCATTACCTTCGCACTCTAACGACCTTTATCACACCCACACATTTGCACTTGCAGCATTTTTTAGGAGTTAATAGTTGCTGCATTTTATTTGGTTTCCCTGTGATTTCCTTTCCCCAGTGTAAATGTTTGTTTCGCAGCTTAGAGCTTTCACAGACAACAGAGACGATATGGCACTCGGGCATGTGATCGTCTTGCTGCAGCAGGAGTGGCCACGGGGAGAGAATCTTTTCTTGAAAGCTGTCAATAAAATTTGCCAACAAGGAAATTTCCAGTATGAGAATTTTTTCAATTATGTCACAAGTATCCTTTTTCTTGTTTAAACAGAAAATTCTGACTTACTAGAATTAATGAATCCCTGATACAAAAAAAAAAAAAAAAAATGAACGAACCATTCTGGCTAGAAACACTGGTTTTTTTACTACTTCTGAGGCAAGGAGAGGGATAGTGCTTTAAAAACGAGGCTATGCCAGTTGATCTTGAATACCTGAGAGGCTTTAAAGATGTAATGCAGGGATTCAAGAATATATTAACCTTTCCATTTTCCACTCCAGCGGACTTCTCAAAAGCTACCCAGGATGCCAGAAGTCATAGCCTGTGAGTTCTTGACAGCCTGAAGTGATCAGGTCAGCCACAGAATAGCACAGTTCTGTGGCCCCCATCTGTCGTAAAATGACTCAGTGGCCTCTCCTGGGGCACCGCTGTCCCTTGGATAGTTTTTAGCGCCCTAGGCCACAGCCATGCAGCCCCAGGAGCAGCAGCACAGGCGCAGCCCTGCACGGTAGGTGCTTACTGTATGCTAGGCAGTGCTCTGTTTACTTGAGAAGACCTTGCTTAGTGCTTTGTTTTTAGCCTTACATTTCAAGATACATGCCCAGTAGGTATGAAGAAATAATCACTCTATCTTTGACTCATATTCTGTAACCAAAGCAGTCCCCCCCATTCCCACCATCTCTTTGACCTCTCATGAAACAAAATTTGCTCTCATGATCCTGTAGACTGCTAAATTATCTCTAGAGGGAAAACATTGTCCTAATGCCCTTCATCCTGGTACATCATAGCCAAGAGTTCTCTTTAGAAGCAGTTTGGTCAGGCTAAGAATTAGAGGTTTTCAAATCAGGCAAACACACGTTCAAATCTTCGCCCTGCTGTTGTTAGTGGAATGGTGACGGGCAGGTTGTCCACTGCTCAGGGCCGGTTTCCTCGTCTGGGAGCGGGAGGCATCTTGTTCTCCGTGTGGTTAACCTGAACCTGGCTGTAGACATTGACATGTTGGAGGAATTTGCCTACTTGAGAACTCAGGAAGGTGGGAAGATCCATCTGGAATTACTGCCGAATCAAGGAATGCTGATCAAGTAAGCAGACTATCTTTTGCTCTTCTAAGCTGAGTGTTATTTTTTTGTTGTTCTATGAACTATTTGTAAATTTCTATGTCTTTCAGAAACTTAATAGACATGAATCCAAACCTAGACTCTATTTTTGAGAGCCAGTTTGACTGTGTACTTTGGGATTTGTTTTCTTAACTAATTTCAGGGAAAAAAATTGTTTAAATTGGAGTACTTATGTTACTTTTGAAACTTTTTCACTAGACAGAAGTTTCTTTCCTGATATCTTCTCCTTGCCAAAATTTATAGACTGATCTTATAAATGTCTGATTAGACTTAAAAAGTAGTTAGAAGTAAGAGCAGCCATGATTAGGAAAGTCCATTAAAAACAGCATATATTTATAAAGTTTATATGAACCCCCCTAAGCAGTTTTCATTGCCCATAGCACAAAGTGAAAAAGCAGGGTCTAATGCCTCCGAGAACACACTTGCCCCTAGCAGTGATGGTGGGCATGGTTGGTCTCGGGCAGATTCTGCCACCCGTAGAACGCTGCTGAAATGTCAGGGCGGCTCAGATAAAAATGTCAAATTAGTGACCATTTATGATTTTTAAATAGTTCATAAATCTTGCTTCTCTCCTCAATCCTCATTGTAGTTTGGATAATATATCCGCTCTGCTGTAAGTGCCACATGTAGTTTTATTTTCATAATTCCTCCTTTGCTTCCTGCACATCTAGTGTGTCTGTCAGTCAGTGTCAGAGTTACCGCAAGACACGGAACCTGAGTGGGAAGAAGTATTGCTAAGACTGAAAACATTTTCTTTTTTCCCTCAGTTGTGGAATAAGGAGTGACTTCTTGTTAAAAGCAAAATTTCATGTCTTTTTCTTTCTCTGTAGAGTCTTAGAGATACTGAGGGAGAGAAATAGGTGTTCCTTCTGGATTTCTAAAGCCTGAGGAATTTGGTGCATGGCAAAGATTTTTATGTCCTACCAAGACTAGGGCCTTATGGAATCCATTCTAAAACATGGAAAGATTATTTTTTCCCCTGATCTTATACATGGTATTAAATATCCTAAACATTTAAAGTAAATGAAAAAATACTCCTTTTTGAAAATGTGAGACCTGTATACATTAGGCCGCTTAAGCAAGATGGGCTAGGCGTGCTCACCTTCCCTTCTCCATGTGCTTTCCTGAGATCATGAGTCAAGGCTCTGGGAAAAACAACTGCATGGTTCGAAATATTCTTAATTGTGTGAGAATAAAGATTACTTTTGGATATGGGTACCCAGGTAACCGCTCTTGTATTATGATTTCTAGGTTTGGAAACTAAATTTGCAGTTATACCTTTAGTAAAGTCTTTTAGTTAATCAACAATCACCGTACAAATTGTCATAATGAAGAGACAGCCCTGGTAGAAACAACCTCCTCCCACGTGGGAATAAACCCACAGTCTCACCATGTTCCTTAGAGAAGCTTAATTGTTTATGGAAGTATGAGGGGATGCAGCTCCCCAGCTGCACCTCAGAGTTAAGCTACTAAGCCTTACTTCTTGTCCCAGTTTTACTGGAAGTGAACAGTGTCGTGGGTACGTGCAGACAGCCCTGTGACACCCAGCCAGATAGTATCCCAGGAAGGTTACTTGGGTTGTTTGTGTACAGGATGCCCAATCTACATTTCTAGACTTTTGAAAGATAATTCCAGGCTCTCCTACTTTGTTTAATCTGACCCTTAATTTCTTCAAACTTTCTGAGGAAATGAGCCTCATACGAAATCTGCAGTTTCATCAGTTTGGAAACAGGGATGGGGATTATCACCTGAGGATCTGACATTGTAGGAATTTGCTGGGTCTTCCCTGCCCGTGTGGGTCTCAAAATGAATTTGAAGCCTACATCTCAGATAATGGACAGCTGAACTACTGTAGGGGGATGAAACTGCGTCAGACAGAGAGCTTTTACTAATTGAGGTCTGATTAGACTCTTGAATAAAACTATCTATATTCCTTTTCCCTTTGGGTTCCAAACAAATTCTCTGAAGCCATTGCAGACCTTTTGGGTGGTCCCTCCAGCTGAGTGGCAGATGTTGTGAGCAGAGTTCAGCTCCTTCCCTGGGGTAAGGTTGTGAGTCTGTCCTAGTGTGGCATCTTGGCTGCGAGCAGGTATGGTACAAACACGGGCACCCAGTGCCTGACCGAAAGGCATCAGCTCTTATGTGTCCTATAGACATGTGCTTGTTTTAAAATAGAGAAATGTTTTTATGCTGATATTTTCAGTATCTTAGTTGTGTTAGACTGGACTGAAATGGAGAACAATAATGTCCTATAAGGTGATCACAGCTAATATACTAAATCTTTGTTGTTACAGAATTCTACAAAGCCATGGGTCCCAGACTTTCCCTCCCTATTTCCATCGGTTGTTTTTTCAATACGTGTTTGAACTTCAGACACACCTTTTCTTTATCAAAAACATTGCCAGCCCCTCTGGTCCTCTTGGAAGGGCGTCTCAGTTGGGGCTTCAGTCCTGTCAAAGGTGTCACACAGAGTCACCAGGTGTGTTTCTGGGACTGGCATGGGCATGAGAAGAGTACAGAGTCAAGGAGGCTGGATTTGAAAACGCTTCCTCTCATGATAACCCTGTCCCCCTGCCATCCCGGTGCATTTCACTGTCTTCCTCACTGGTGGCTTTTAATACCAAATCTCAAGTGGGTTGAGTTCTGGGGCCAGGAGCCAGGAGGCATCTGGACCCGCACTACAGCCAGCCGGTGCAGTGAGGGCTCACTAGCTTCTCCCCAGTCTCCCTGCAACACACTGCCGCAAGGGGCTTGTCCCAGTTGAAGTCTCTGTACAGTCTGCTTCAGTCTCGTGTATCTTCTCCGGAGTGTTGTTTTTGCAGTGCAGGGTGAGCCGGTGTGGGTGTTTGAATGCTGCTGTTTGCTGTTTTTTAAAGGCCTTCTAGCCCTCCCCTGGGGTTACTGCAGCAGGAATTCTTACCTGTGCTTCAGCCCAGCATACAGACTGCTGACAGGTACCACGTGGAAACACCTGCTCATAGTGTGCTGTTTGTCCACATGTTCTCCAGCCCATGGTTTCAGCTCTTTGTTCCTCAGTGCTCTTTTTCATGCTTTATTTTTTTAATTTGTTCTGCATTCCTTGGCAAACCATCTGGTTGTAATATTGTAACATTTCTTATTTTTTTTCCATAAGTTGCCAGTGTGTTTGTGTTCAATTTAAAAATCATTATGGATCTGGGAAAAAAATGAAAATTTTATAAAATTGTATTAGATTCAATTAGCACATTCAATTAAGTGCTAAACTATGACTCTTTTGATAAAACATGAGGCTTTTGGTCATAAATACTTAAGGATGCTGAAGTTTACTTGAGCTAAATTCTTACTGAAGGATTTTCATGTTGGGGACCAGTATTGTGTTGGTTTAACTGGGCACGAGCACAGTTTTCTCCAGCCACTGGTACTATTTTCAGACCTTGCCTTTCTGAATAGAAATTAATTTGATAAGCTAAAATGATGCCATGCTGATTAGCTAATTTATCCTGCTCTTAAACTGAGTTAACTACAGTCACGTGTTACCTACCCACGAGGGTATTTTCTGGAAGTGCACCATTGGGTGATTTCATCGTTGTTTGTGTGAACGTTGCAGAGTGCACACACACACACCCCAGCTGGCCTGGTGACCTGCTACACACCCAGGCTGTGTGAGTACAACAGGTCTCTGGTTGAGCAAAGCATTGTTATGTGGCGCATGACTGTAATTGTCGTCTTTACCCAAACTCACTAGAGGAATCTAGGCTCTAATTGAAATGTAAATGAGTTGTGCTGCTCTTTGTACATGGAAACAATCCCACCATGATTGGCAGGATGTGATAGTAATCATATTTTGGGTCAGATTAAGGGCACCGTTTGCCCATTAGCTCACTGCCCCCAAATGCCAGGGTCTTCTGCTTGGCCCAGGTCGGGGTTGCAGCCCTGGACCTGTAAGAGCAGCATCTCAGGGCAGCACAACATGGTTTACATCCACTCCCAGTGGGACTCAGAGCCTCAACCTCCCTGACGCTGTGTCCTGGCTATGGATTTGAGATGCCCACACAGAACTGTGCATCTTCTCCATGGCCCTGCTGTGTCACCACATAGTTCTCTAAGATGTCCATGGCCATCGCAGAGTGTTTTGTAATAGCTTCACCAGTCTAACAAAGCCTGATGTTTTTCTTCTATGGTTTTGCAACCTTATGACTCTTGTTTACTTTTTACGATAATTAATGTGTTTTTAAAACAAATATTTTAGAATGACTTCAACAGGTTATTTTGCTCAGTACGTAAAAGTCTAATGATGAAATTTTCCTTGCCTGAGGAAGTTAGGCAGCAGTAGTGGGCAGGGAATGGCAGTGGATTTTGTTTGTCTAAATCTGCCATGTCATGGAACTACCACAGCTAAAACTCCTTTCCCCCTAACTGAGCCCACTGATTTTTGCTGGTCTTCTTTTCCTGTCTTCATTTGATTGTCTTCAGTTTTCCGGGGTTTTGTTTGTGATTTCCTTTTCTAACAACCACTTTGGGGGCACAGTTAGACACCACTTTACTTGTGCTCCCCCTGACCCTTCCACAGACACACAGGTCCCTCTGAGCGCCTGGACAGAGCTTTCTTCCTGGGACTTGGCAGGCCACTGGCTCTTCTCAGTGATTCTGCCCTTCTCCCATCCTGTGCCACCTTCTTGCCTCAGGACACCTAAGCCCCTGCCTTTTTTTTAAGCAGCCAAGAGTCTGGATGAGCCTAACATTCAGGCGCTGCCCTGTTCTGGTACCATGGGGAAAGAGATGCCCCAGGACCCCAGCAGCTGTGCAGAAGCCCTTTGGGGAGCCCCAGCTGTGGGAGCCCTGGCGTGCTCTGGATCTCGTCCTGCTGCTGCTGCTTCTCCAGTGTGTTGGCCTGGCTGGGTGCCAGTGCTATGTGGCCAGTGGGACAGCAACCTTCCCACCCCACGTAGCAGAACTGTGTGCGAGCCAGCAGTAAGGATGCGTAAGATCAGAGCTTCAGGAATTCAACAGCATTTCATGGAACATAGATGTTTCAAATAAATTGTATGGGTGGTAAAAAAACAAAACAAAACAAAAAAATGCCTCTCTAGTTTTAAGTCTTGCTGAGCAGGAATGAGTAGGAGTGGTTGTTTGGTTGCAGCTTTTCTTTTTAAATTTGATTTACAGTTTTTACTTATATGTACATAGATATGATGCAGGCTTTATTCCCACTTAAGTAGTGCTGGTCAGCGATGCTGCTGCTAATGCCTGGCCTCTGTCTGTTTCCCTGTTGCTGACCGCAGGCACCACACGGTCACTCGAGGCATCACCAAAGGTGTGAAGGAGGACTTCCGCCTGGCCATGGAGCGCCAGGTCTCCCGCTGTGGTGAGAATCTGATGGTGGTGCTGCACAGGTTCTGCATTAACGAGAAGATCTTGCTGCTTCAGACTCTCACCTGATGGAAGACCTTTGCCCCGAGGCAGCTGTTCGCTGTGTTGTGAGGGCAGACACAGCAGTGATACCACAGCCCTCAGAACAAAGAAAGCACCTGAGTTCCTCGGTTGTTTAAAAGTGGTTTACAAGAGTCTAAGAAGTGATTTCTATTTTTAAGAGTTGTAGTGTTTTGTAATTTTTGTAAAAGAAAATCAAACTATTTTGTAAATAAAATTCATCCTAAAATTTGAAGGTTTAAAAAATGTAATTCTACAACTTTCTAAATAGGGATGCATTTTTCTTTTGCTGGAACACATACAGCAAGAGAAAAAGTCCGACACTGTTGAATATAGATACTTCAGACATGTGCGTTCTGTGATTTCAAGACTTTACTTTCTACAGTTAAATAAATGTTGTGTATATTTTTGTTGTGTAATTTGACATTTTCATTCGAGGAGTTTTTAATATCAAAACTAGGCAGAGTTGAACTTGAGTCTGTTCTGTACCCACTGACAGCCCTCTGAAGACAGGGCTCTGGGCTCTGAAGTGGAGGATAGAAGCAGAGGAGCTGGAGAAACCTTCCCGCTCAGGGCTCGGGAAGACCTGCTGCTGTGCCAGGGAGGGCAGCCCTGCCCAGTGGGCTCTGCACAGAGGCTCTGGTGTAGACTGTCTGGCTTGGTGTGGAGCCCTGCCCTTGGCTTGCTGTACGACCAAGGGCAATTGAGCGTCTGTGTTTCACTCTGCCTTGAAGAGGCACCCCGTGCACACACACAGGAGCGTGTGAATACTGTATTCAAGGTAGGGTATGTTTCCACAGACACCAGGGTGTTTGTATTTTTTAAAATGCTATTGGTACCTTTTAGTTATACAGTATAGACATTCATCATTGGAGATTTGCACCTTTACATAATCTATCTTGGTTCTCCCCTGCCTTCCCTTCAACCCTTAAACCCCTCTTTATTTACAAAGTCTTTGTTTCCATTTTTTCATGTTCTCCTGTTAATTCCACTCCCTTCTTCCCTTCCCCTTTGCACCGTTTCTTCCTATTTCACATTATACGTTTTGATCCTTATTTACACTTTCAGTTTCTCACACCAGAGAAGCTATTCGGTATGTACCCATTTTCCTATTTATTGCATACAGATCCCAGTGAGAAGCCAGTGTGGACCAGAGCAGTGTGGGGCAGGACCAGCCGTGTATTTTCTGACACTCCAGAACATGTTCATTTCCTCCCAAGGCGATTCCGTACATTGTTCGCAGTCTTTCTCACAGTCTACCTGGGCATCTACCACAAAAGTAAAGGGTTCTTGCTAAGCTGACTTCTCTGGCTTAGATGCAAGTCCCCTACAGAGTCCGTGTATTATTTTAGAAGCTTGGTCTTGGGGTGCTGCTACCAGAGGTGTTTCATGTGATTGCAAATGGTTCATAAACTCAGTAGAAAGGGGATTTTTTCCCCCTCCTTGATAATGCTTTAATAGATCCCACCAAGCACTTTTTTATTTCTTATTTATTTATTCATATTTTGGTTTTGGTTTTTTGAGACAGGGTCTCACTATGTAGTTGAGACTGACCTGGAAATCACTATGTAGCCCAGGCTGGTCTTGAACTCAGTGATCCTCCTGCCTCAGCCTCCTGAATACTGGGATTATAGATGTGTGCCACCATGCCTGGCTACTTTTACTTTTTTAAACTAAAGTGCACAAATTGATAAGCTGGAAAGAAAGCAAAGTAATTTTATTATTCCCATATCATTGTTCACTCTGCCTTAAATTATATTCCAATAATTTAAAAAAGAACATCTCACCCAGATTGCACAGTGTCACTGTTCCTGGACCATGAATTATCTGACTTTTCTGGGGTACAGTGAGTACCACACGTCAGTCAGTCTTGGGGCACAGGATCTGTGGCACTGTGGCCCCGCCACCCTGCTCTGATGTGCTGTCCGGCTAGGTGCATGAAAACACCCTCTGGAAGCAGCTTTCAGTCTAAGATGGAGCTCAGTTTGCATTTCCTAAGCAGCTAAATTAGGGTCATGATTTTTTTTTTTACTGATGTGATGTAAAATAAGTACCAGGCTGGTGTGTGGGGGGAGCGTCCAGAACGAATGCTAAGGGAATCCCCCCTAAAAATGTCACACTACAAAAAAAAGTAGTGCCAAGCAAAGATGATAGTAACTTGTAACCCAGATGCCAGCTACCCCACAATCTTCCAGCATCCTTGTCTGTTCATTGCATTTGTGTTCTTGCCCTTTGTTGTCCACTGTGGGATTCTGCACTTCAAGTTTTTCAGAGAGGACAAAGCAATAGGAGAAACTTACTGAGGAGTTGAATGTGTATAAGAGGATGAATAGCCAAAGTAAAAGACTCAGTCATGCAGCAACCTTCCTGTGTGCAGGAGCTCTTTTTCAGCCCTTCTATTGAAAGGGGGTTTTCTTCCTCAATCTCTCTTTGTTAAGGGTTAAGAACACTTAATGTGAGGTCCAGCCTCTGAATTTTGAAGGGCACAGAAGAGTATTAACCATGGGCGTGATGTTGTACTGCCACACCAGGCTTCCTGGCAGCTCCTAACCTCCCCAGAGCTCAAGCTTTACACCGGCTGAGCAGTGGCTTCTGGATTCCTTCTCTTCCTGGCCCTGGCAACCACCTTTCTACCCTGTGCATCTGTGAGTTGGTTGGATGAATGGATAAAGAGAGTGTGATCAGAATGGGTAATTATTGGGCCTTTATCAAGAAAGGAGGCCTGCTCTCTGCAACAACATAGACACACCTGGAGGAAACCAGGTTAAATGAAATCAGCCAGAAGCAGAAAGGAACACATTCTACTCTGAGGTACCTCGTTCTCTTGGGTAGCTTCTCTGGCTCCTTGTTTTTCCTAAAGTTTAATTCTTCACCTCTTTATTAAAGGAAATGCTTTACTAACCTCTCAACTTTTCAGTTGTACACTTACTGCCACCGCAGACATCAATCAGTACGAGGGACGTTTTATTAACAGGATCCACTCTTCTTAGAAGTGGTTAAAATTATAAAAAGGGAAAAACATTTGTTAGGAGTTCAGCACAACAGTGATGGCAACCTAAGGGTTTCCTGCTAAACTTGGCACTCAAGATAATATTAACACATTAGCAGTTTTTAAACAAAATATAAAGACATAAAGTATGTTGTGGAGGCACTGCCCATGGCCTACACAACTTCTTTCCAAATTCAATCCCGGAGCCTGGCGTGGTGGTGCAGGCCTGTAATCCCAGAAGTTGGGAGGCTGAAGCAGGAGGATTGCTGTGAGTTCGAGACCAGCATGGGCTACATAGTGAGTTCCAGGTCAGCCTCAACTACATAGTGAGACCCTGACTCAAAAAACAAAACAAAACAAAACAAAAAACCCCAAAACCAAATTCAAGCCCTGAACACACTTCTCCTTGTGATAGGCTTAGGTCTCTCAGGATTCTGCCCCGGGGGCTCTTTTCTGAGAATTAGCCCTTTCAGGTAAGAGAGAAGAGCTTGAACTGAGCTTGGCTCACAGAAAATTAGGTGATAAATTTAACTCTTGTTGCACCAAATTGTGCAGAAACAGTTGTTACTTTTTAACTGACTTGGATTAAAATGACTACTGATCATTAACTGTATCAGGCACCATGCAAAGTGTCCCACATATATTTTCCCATATCCCTAACGGCCCTAGGACAAAGATAGAGAGCTATGTAGGTAACAAAACAGGCTTCTAAAGTTGAGATCTTTGCTATGAGGTCACATAACTAGCACCTAGTAGATTTTGGTCTCCATCTTAAGGATTGGATTCTAGACCCAGCCCTTGTAGTAGACTCCTTGCAAGCTTCTGAATGTTTGCCGTGGTGTTGGACTCTGGGGAATAAGCAACTAAAGAGAGAACAACAGCCTCAGTGTGTTTTCTACCTAGAGGAAGTTGGCAATGCGAGACTCCTTGGTAATCACCACATACTACATTATGTCTGTGTTAGTTGCGTTTCAGAGACGAAAGCCTGAGGAAGAAGGGAAAGATGTGTTGGGAAGGCTTTACCGAGGTCGATTTACAGAATTTTGAAATACAAACTGAAACTTTATTAGATGATGGATAAGCATCCTGGAAAATGTGGTAACATTTAAAAACTCCTGGGTGCTATTCAGTAGCAGGCATTTGGCCAGATGCTGGAGGCATTAGGATAAAACAATGTAGGGATGTAGGTTCAATCCCTACATTCAGAGAATTAGCCTAGTGATCATTCCAACTCTGTGAGCTCTAAGCTCCCTTGTTGGCATCCCATCCCATCCATCCTCCCCCATCCCCTTTGTCTTTGTTTTCTTTTTTTTTGGTAGCGGGGATTGAACTTGGGTCCTTGCGCTTGCAAGGCAGGCAGTGGATCCACTGAGCTAAATCCCTGGGCTCCCTTGGTCTTTGTTGTCATTTCAACTTCAGTGTGAGCCTAGAGCTCATCCTAGTTCTGCCTGCCAAAAGAAACTGAGGAGCTGAATCACACATGTCTTCATGAAAACAGCTCTATTTTTACCTCTCCCATGATAAAAATTACCTGGTCCTAATGGTGCAATTTCAAACACCATGTCTCCCTGATGGGGAGTTTTCTAAATTTATTTTCATTGCAAAGAGAGGATCAGGCTAAATGTTCCTTCCTCAATTTTAATCTAGTACAAAAAAAATCCTCATGAATTTTCTTTTTTGGAATCTCTTCTTTTCTACCACACCTGAAGAAATTTTCAAGCCCTAGGCATTAGTTTCCTAGGACTCTCGTAAAAACCTATAACAGGGTGGCTTAAAAGAAGAGATATTTATTATCTTACAGTTCTGGGAGTTACACATAGAAAATCAAGGCATCATCAGGGCCATGTGACCCCTGAAGCTGGTAGAACCTCTGTCTGTTCGTAGATCCACAGTGGCAGCAGTCGCTGATGTCCCCTTGACCTGCAGAGCTTCACTCCAGCCTCTCT